TCGAATCCCGTCCCGCCCTATACTTTGGTTTATATTTTGTAATTTTTATTGTTTCGTCTGTAGTAGGCATTTCTAAAAACATTGTTGACGTTTTGAAATTTGGCGACATAAAATAACGTAATTAATATTTTCTAGAATGTGGAAATAATACACTGCGGCGGTAATCGAGTCTAATACTAGGAGACTGGTTGTGGTTCCCCCAAAGAAGTCTATATTTGTCTCTAGATGTTCGAGGGATACTTCCGAAGACAATATAAAGTTTTACATCTCGTCCAAGGTTAAAACTATCAACTTAAGTATCAGAAAATTTTATTTTAAAAATGAAACAAATATTTCTTAATTTAAAATTTACGAAAATTTAGAAAATTTTGACATGCTGCTTAGTAGTTCTTTTTGGACCTGCGGAGCTTTCGTTCGTGAATTCGAGTATAGGCCCAACAAAAATAACAATTTAGCAAATATTCCCCATCAGAATACTGAATCAAAAAACTGATTACTAAATCTGCTTTAAGTATTTATTATCAAAACTTAAGAGGCTTAAATACCAAATTAACGAACTTATATCTTAATGGCCTTGAATGCAATTTTAATATACCTGATTTCTTTCACTGAAACTTGGCTTAAACCTCACATTTTTAATTCAGAGATTCTTTCAAATAATTGTCATATCTACAGAAAAGATCGGGAGGACAGGATCGGCGGTGGCGTACTCTTTGCCGTAGACTCTTCAATACCACCTGAAGAAGTTAGTCTTCCACACATTGAATCTGCAGAATTCAAATGCATTCGTATACTCGTTGGAATGGGGTTTACTTACTTAGCTCTATGCTATATTCCTCCCCGATCTGGCTCATCATCTTTACTGAAATCAATTAATTCAATAATTAAACCCTCTGATTCAATGTTGTTGTTGTTGTAACAGCATACAAACTCCCCAAAGACTTTTGGGGAGTGTTGCTGGAGTGACAGTCCTTGGCCAGATATAAATCTGGGTCGTTCCGGTTACGTAGACCCGACTGTCGTGGGAACGCCTCTGATTCAATGATAGTGTTGGGTGACTTTAATTTACCAAATGTATCATGGAACATCATTGACAATGATATGGTATCTTTCTCGTCTAGGGCGTGCAACAACGTATTTTTAGAGGAGATGGCAAAACTCTGCCTAAATCATAATGTACTTCGCAATAAGTTTGGCAAAGCATTAGATCTTGTTTATGTTGATGATGCATCTAAGTCCGCTGTAAATAATTGTGACCCACTAGTTTTGATGAAGATGTCTACCACCCTGCTATTGAGATATCTTACGACATCATAAACGATGGTCAAAATTACGGTATCCAAACATACTAACCAAATATTCGCTTTGATTTTCCGAAAGCCAACTTTATAAAACTGATTAAAGAATTGTCTAAATTGTCGAGGCCTATATGCAAAGAAAAGGTTGAGCAAAGCGTTGCACATTTTAATTTTACTGTGCATCAATTATTTGAAAAGTATGTGCCTAAACGCAAGTGTGTTCCTGAACAACAAACACAGTTATGGTTCACTAAAGAACTGAGAAATTGGAAAAACAGGAAGTCACGTTATTTCAGATTACACAAAAACCACGTTTTACACTCATACTATTAAAATACTCACTAAAATTAAAATTAAAATTAATTTATTTTTCATCTTAAAGCCCTGTATGCAGCTCTCAAGAAAACGGTCAAGAAAAAATTGCCATTATTTCGCGTGTGTGTCCAAGGAATTTTGACATATTTGATACCTCACAGCCTGTTGCCTCACTTTTCCTCAAGAAATAATGGAACGGGCATATATTTCTGTTGCAAACCTGGGTTGCCTTGTGCTCTTTTTTCACAAAAAACTTTAGAAAACCGTAGTAGAAAGCGTAGTAAATTTCTTAAGAACTGCGTACTTACTGCCTTAAGGAAATTTTACTCAAGAAAATTTCTTAGCCATTTCTTGTACGTCATTTTATATGGAGTTTTTGCTTGTCTTGAGAGCTGCATACAGGCCTTAAGAATGGACACGAAAAATTTTGGTCAACCGAAAATTATTATAACAACATATTACCAACGAAAAGAGTTTTCTGCTTTATCATCTTCTTTATTAAGCTTACTATATTAAACAAAAAAAACTTATTTCAATTATCTTCATTATAAACAAAATGGCGCAATTTACATTTGAGCCCTCTCATTAGGATACGGACATCCGTTATTATAACGGTGTCTGCTTCTCTCTGCCAACTAATTTTGAAATTCTGATAATTTTTGATGTCTTCTTTTGTTTTTATCTATTTTCTTTCAATAATTTTCAACGGGTCGCATTTGTGAACAGTTTGGTAGGTTGTGGTCCTTTTGAACAATATATACCCCGTGACTATGTCAGTCATACCAGTTCACGCCAAAGGGGCTGTAATGGCACAATGCTAAATCGGGACAGAGCAGAACTGCGCCTTTGTGTTGCTTTATGAACGACAGCAAACGATATTGCAAACACTACTTCATACACATTTCTTGATTTATGGAGCCCGTAGTAAAATTTTTACTAGCAGAGACTAGCAGCTGTCAAAATGGATAAACAAAAATTCGCGCCAAATAATGTCAATAGTCAAATACATCGATCAGCTGTTTACTTGCTAGTTTCTGCTAGTTTTGCGTTTCTTTACTATTTCTTTATTTCGCTCTCTGTAAGCGTAATTCTCTCAATCTACCCATTCTTCTTCTTGCTGATAATTATCTGCTAGAAAATAAAAGAAACAAAGCCCCTGCATAACTTTCATAAAGTTAGGGCTTGTTCGAGTTGCAATCACAACCGCAGTATTGTCCGAACTATTAAAGTATCACGTTCGGTGTGAATTTCTAGCAACTTATTGTCAGTTGGGCAGTTGCAACAGTGTTGCAAATTTTCATCAGCGCAGTAGTAATGCCGCTTTTATTACGTGCCTAGAACAGGCCCTTATTTATAGTAGCTTCTAGGTTACTACTATTCCGACCAAAAGGAGGTTGTGTTCACAGTATATACAGTAATAAACCTTTTTGAGTACTCCTCGGGGGTAAAATCTGATCAGTGTTGTTAACAAGGAGCATGAATTTTGCTGATTCTGAGTTGTATACAAAATTACTGTGGTATAAAAGGGAGCAACAACCGTACTATTACAACCGCACAGAGTGGCACAGGCAATTTTGTAAACAAACATTTTTCTTAAAATTTTATTAAAATTTTAAAAGATAATTGCTATTTATTTTCTAATATTCAGATATCCAGGTTGTAGCCAGAGTCAGTTGCGTGTGAGGCTTACTAAAATCTACTCATCATGTTGGAGCAGCTCCGGGCAATGGACCATTGAATTTATGACCACCATAACCAACGGAGTCTCCAAGAAAACGCATATCCTGAATTTATAAGTAGCAATTACTATTGTATGTGTATATGATTCATATCTGTGACATTTTATACTTTGATGTAAAGTATTTTTGAGGAGCTCCGGGTAATGATCGCTCAAACTTGGGTGTGCTTAATGAACTGTCTGGGCGGATGCGCTGGCAGGCATTGGATTCTCTATAAAGTAGCTGTTAGTCGTGGCAAGTGCAAGTCCTTTTCAAAAGTCTGTCAAACTCAAGAATTTCCAAAAGAGATTGTAGGAGCAGTTACACCTTGCATGTAAAGTCACTTTCGAAAGCACTTTTTATTTCTGAAAATCAAACTTTCCGATACTACTTTTTATATGTTTACACGGTGAATGCAGATAAGTCCACTTTCAACTATGTTACCAGACATTTTGTATGCTCAAAATTTATTAAACCTCCTGAAATGTCCACAAAACAGTCACAAAATGTCAATACAATAATACTTGAGCACTCCATATCATAGAAGAATTGAATTACGCGTTGTTGTTTCCCCCCAAGAAAAATACACCGCTACGCTCACCTCAATGATCTCTATCAATCCCCATATAAATGTTTTTAAATTTGATAATTGTATTGGTATTAAATTTGTAATTAATTTAAGAGTTATTCGAAAAAAACAATTGCACTTTGCACTTTTCGCACCACGTTTGATGAATTTGATGCAAATAAATGGAGTAAATGAAAGTTGTTCTCTGCAAAAGGTGTTCAGCCCCCCTTCTTTGGCAACACAGAA